TATATATGCCGTGTAGTTACAATACCAGAATGTGAACCTCTACAATTTATTTTCTATGAGTTACTGTAAGTATAAATTTTCCTTGACTGTGTTCTTCACGATTTTGTTAGGTCCAAATATATAAAACCAAACTGATAGAAAATAAGATCTTACAGTTGCACTGAATAGCACATTTTAAAAAATTGAGGTGGAAATATATACACTAGAACATTCACCATTTCAACAATTTCTACATCTAAAATGAAGAGACAGTTTTACATTCTTTTATTCTACTTGATACTTTACATTTTATTGTACACGTAATATCATTTTATCGGGTATTTTTGGTAGGGTAGATGTAGAATTTATCATAACATTTATACAAGGGGGCTTTAAAAAGCTTATGGAAAAATTCCATTATCTTCTAATTTGATTTTTCCACAAACTTTTGGAAGCCCCCTTGTATATATGTATGTATGTGAGAATAGATAGATGTAAATTTTATATTAATGGAATCTGACTAGACAAACTTCCATCCACACCTTCTGTCACTACCTGTATCTTAGAAGGTCATTCTGTAGCAGTATATACAGAAATACCTCATTCTTTTTAATAATTGAAATGCTAATACATCATAAATGTTCAAACATTGATAGTCTTTTAGATTGTTCCCAGTGTTTTACCATAACCAATATATATCGCTGAGAACAATTCTTATATATATATAATGAGAGTATGCTTTTTGTTGTTGTTAAGTGCCATTGAGTTGGATCCGACCCATAGCGACCCTGTATAGGGTTTCCGAGGAGCAGCTGGTAAGCTTGAACCACTGACCTTCCAGCTCAGGCTTTGCAATCTGACGCATTAACCCACAGCACCACACCTATCTATATGGTAATTCCTAGCAATAGAATTGGGTCAAAGGACAATTTTCAGTTTAGTAATCACTGCCCAATTGCCATCCAGAAATTGTTAGCCAGTTTATACTTATACATCCAATGTATGAGAATGCTTATTTACTAGGCCAACACCAATCTTGGGTCCTAAATAATATTTTTGAATTTTGATCATCTGAAAGGGGAAAACATCTTGAATTTTACTGGGGATGTAATGCATTTTCATGACAGAGATGGAGCACATTTCGTGTTTCTTGATTATGTTTTGTTTTCTGTAAATGGTGTGATCATGTTCTATTAAATTATTTGTTTTCTATTGATTTGTATGAGCTCTTAGTAAGATAAGAGATTGGATGGTTGTCATGTTTACTGATACTTTCCTGAGTTTTATTTATATACTTAAACTTAGCAGTCTGGCTTCTGGGATTTGTACCATGCTTACAAAGACCTGCTTTATATTTAATAATAAACTGAACACGTTTTCCCAGTACTTGTAAGGTTTTCTTTTTTTATCTTTACATCTTTGATTCATTTAGAATCTATTTAGATACAAGCAGTTTGGA